ATCCCACTGGGAGTTCTTCACCATGTGCCTTCATGTTTGTAAGACTATGAAAGGCCAAAGGGCTTCTTTTGAACCTACTAAGGTATCACAGTCACTATCCCCATGCCAAACTTCTGGCTTGACTGAGGACATGTGGCTAGTATAGTACAGTACAGGAGGGGTGAAGGCAAGGGCAGCCTTCTCCTCAGTTTTGTTGCAATGAGCAAGTGTCAGTCAGGTGACCTACCAGCAAGAAGCCCTCCACATGGACACCCTTCATGTCCTCACCGCCTACCAACTATTATTGGACTTTCAACTTCTACGGCTGCTGCTCCAGAGCCCATAAGCTCCAGATACTCCGGAAACACCTCTCTCTGAGAAGTACCTCTGACCTTTCACCCCAGGTCTTCTAGTATCTCCTGCAGAATCACTGCCCTCTAGGACTACTTTGTGTCAGGAAAGAGGCCCTGGCTTTAGATGAACTCACTCTTCAGGTCACCAGGAATGGTTCTCGGTCCTGACTGAAGAGAGTGACATGGTAGACATGGTTCATCAGGGAGAGAGCTGGGCTGTATGCCAGAAGAGCTGTGGTGTGATGACAGAGGAAACCCAGGACCCGGTGCCAACTGGGAGCCCTAGGGACATCAGCATGCCTTCCTGTCCTCCTGTACTAGCACCTCATAGACTCACATGAGGAAAGTTGCTGCAAGGCCCACCACCCCTCTCAGATGGCTGTGCCTGTGGGCAACAGGCTGGGAGGTCTCACTGCCCCTGAAGCCCTGACCATGCTGGGCATCAGCTCATTTCAGATGGCTCACTGATATCTTTCCTTCCTCCTTGCAGCCATCAAGGGACACAGTCCCATTCTACCTCCATTCCCCTTTCTCTAGTAAAGAGACTCCATTGCTCTGTGGGAGTTTTCCCCTCTCTGACACAAGCATTTAGCAGCTCCTGTGAGATAAATAGGGAGCAAGTATGCATGTGAGCCAGAGCTCCTGGTGTATTCAGAGCCCCAACTAATCTCTCTCACACAAGAACCACAGGCCCAGCTCAGGTACAAAGCCCAAGCTTCCTCTGCAGTCTGCCCTAATAATCTGCTCAGCATTCCCCAGGCCAAGTCTGAGGAAGGTCCCTGGCTCTAAGAAAAAGAGAGACAAGCCATTGTACCAGCCTACAGACCCTAGGAAGCAAAGAGCTAAAGCACAGGCAAGAGGAGGTCCGGGGAATAGGTAACCACACCTCTCTGAGAGGAACATTCAAGTCATGTACAAACAGGAATTTTCCAGGCAGACAAGACACAATGCAAAGATTAGGCATTTGTGGGACGCAGGCTGCCCAAGTCTCACAATACAAGTCCTGAAGCTTTCCTTGGCTGCCCTGCCAGTGTGGCAGTTCAAGTTTTGCACAGGTTATAGGTATGCAAAAGTAGGGTTCATTTTTCCATCTGGATATATTCTTGAACAATGATATTCTAAACAGTTTCTCCCAAACTGATAGGCTTATAAGAGTTAAAACAAAGTGTTTAGCTTTCCTGGCAGAACTCTTTCCATCATGAAATCCAGCACACACAGCTGCACTGACCCACAGACTACAGTGCTTTCCTGAACCTGCAGCATGCAGAACCAGCAGGGACAAAGTAGTCAAAACAGAATTCTGGGCAGGGAATGAAATGTGTGCTCAGTTCACACCCAGTGACACTGGGGTCCTAGGTATATCTGAGACGAGCTGCTGGGCTGAATTTAGATGTCAAATGAACAGCACATTGTAGACACAAGAAGACAGTCCCGTGGTCAGGACAGCTTGCTTCAAATGCTGTATGAAGACAGCCTACTCCCGGGGCAAAACAGCAGGGCCCAGCTGCCCTCAAAGATGCTGGGAGCTCTACAGATACACAGTGAGCAGTAGGGCTACTGCAAGGCCCCTCTGTGGCCTCAGGGCCTGGACTCAGTAAGTCCAGCCATGCCACATAGCCAAATAAATAAATGCCTGTTTAAAACTCAAGTGAGTGAGAAAGGAAGATGGAACCAAGTTCAGAAAGCCAGCAGCTTCCGTCTTCTCAGTGGGGCCATTCACAGGAGCCCAGTGGATAGATGAATATTCATGTGCACAGCCGGCAGTCACAGCCATACAGGGGTCACTAAGAAACCATAGCACACCTGCTGCTGCCAGGCGGAAGTTAGGTTCAGTCCTGGCCTTGGCTCCAGGGGTGGGTGGTTAGACAGTGCTGGGGACAAAGCCAGCTAAGGCCTTCTGAATTGCAGGCTGTGAGGCCTCTTCAGACCAGGTGGCAGCTTTGTGTGTCTGGAACAGAGGAGGAAGTGCCCCGCTGACCTGGCAGGCTCCAATTTCCCTTCTCTGGGCTCTTAGCATTTCCTCCCAAGGCCACTTGGCTCAGCAGTCCCTAAGGCTGCTCGGAAAGAACTGGTAATGACAGGCTCACTACAAATGATGGCTTTCAGAAAAGCATTTCCTTCATGTAGAGGGCAGCTCAGTGCTATGGGAAGAGGTTTTAATAATTATAGAGTGCCCTGGGACAGAGAATTAGTCCTGAAAACCCATACTTGGGTTTTAACAGAGGCTAAGTAGTAGATCCTACACAAAAGCCAGCTCTGGAGCCAGCTCAAACACACAAGAGGCAAAGCACCTGCTCATGGGGTCAGGGAGTTGGCACAAGGTCACTCCTCCACAGGAATTCTTACAAGATCACAGTGATTTCAGCATCCTTTTTCCCCCCAAAACCGCTTCCTTACATACAGGGCTGCTGAGCAAATAGTGCCCAACCACACTAAAGTAGAGTTTCCAATGGTTCCTGGACATATTCATGGCATAATACAAGCTGGAAAATCTGTGTGCATACCTGTGTGTGTATAATTACACATACAATGTGACTCAACTATGTAAAAAAGTAATGCCAGGGGAAAAAGGAAGGAGATAGCTAATATTTTACCAACAGCTATGCCTCAATGCTGAAATAGGAGGCATTTTCAAGGACTTGCCTGGCCACAGAACTTTCAGTAATCCAGGATGTGCTACAAGCACTGAGCTGGTTCCTCCCTAACTAGCTCTGGGACCCTGGTGGGATGAACAGCCTCTCTGGGCTTTGGTGGTTTGAGTATTCCTCCAATCATTAGTAAAAATGCCAAACACGTCAGAACCAAGGAAGCCCCGAATGGGTAAGTGGGCAAAGGAGAGCCACAGGGGCCAGCCAGAAGCCATTCAGACTTTTCTCTGTTGAAACTGTGTTCACAATGGCCAGGAACTAGACATAACGCAGACACCCAACAGAAGCAGAATGTATGAATCAAGTGCCACATTCACACAATGGGGTGAGGGGTACTCAATTTCTAGCTAGAAGAGGACTGAAGGGCTGCCACACTGCAATACAGACAAACCTCTATCCAATGAAGGCCACAGAGATATGACTGTATTCACACGGCATGTCCAGAACAACCAAGTCTATGGGGAAAAACGGCAAAACAGTAGGTTCTTTCTGGGGTGATGGAAATGTTCTGGAGTTAACTGGTAGCAATAGTTACACAACATCTATGTGCTTTTAAAATAAAGAACACAGAATATTCCAATTTAAGATTGTCAGAATGATGAATTTTATCTCAAGCTAGAGAACAGACCCTGGACACAACCCAACAGGATGCTTAGTGACTATCCCCAGCAGACTTGTATCCCACTTCAGGCATCCTGGCCTACAGGTATGACAACTCCAGTTCCTGAAGATGGCTCTGTCCCTAACTGGATCTCAAGAATGAGTACAAAACACAGTCCTGTCCTCCAGCCAACAGAAGAGCTAGGCATAAGTTGGTAATATAAAAACAAACTGCTCTGTTGATTCCCTTGACCATGTACAACTCACCCCTGACATACCAGTCAGAGAGATGAAGAGGTAAGCATGGAAGCTAAGGCTCCCTTCTATCAACCAGTTCTGCCTGTCCCAGAACTCCCTGGATAACCTGACACCTATTCTTCTCCTCTACCTGCCTACGCCTATGTCACAACACACAGATCCCTGAGCCTGGACCCAGTCCTCCTGCCCTGCCTCTATGCCTCTTGACACACCCCATTCTGCAGGTCATTGGGCCTCTTGGTGCCCACCCACCACCAAGATGGTCTCATCTCACCCTTGGGCCTGACAGACCCTTGCCAAAACCTGGCCCATACAACAGCACTGCTACCAGGTGTCCCCACCTCACCTACCCTGACCAGCCAGGGCAGGAACTTGTGCATCCCAGGGTCCTCCTCGCTGGACAGAGCTGACACCTGCTACGCTTTTAAGAAACATTCAGGGAACTGAGGTAAATACAAAAGAGAGTTTGGGAAACAAGGACAACAAAAGACACAAGCAAGATACCACAAAATATACATGTCACAGACATGTCCAACAAGGTTCAGAGCAACAGACCAGAAGCACAAAGTCTACAAGGCCAAGACCCCTATCAGCAATTAAAGAAACTTATGTGCCAAGAATGTCACCCAGAGCAAAATAATTTCTGCCATGTTCATGTTTCAAATCATTGACTAGAAATTCTCTTATATTTGCTAGTAAGCAAAACTAAGACGTTTTCATTTAACCAATTAAACAGATTTACTATTGCTTTAAATAACTGCAAACATGTCCTCTTTTAATTAGTAGGAGTGGTGGCACACTGCATTTCCAGCTTACTGTTTAAGTTTTACTTAGAGCTTTCTCACTGTGTATTATGGCTACTTGGGCTAGGTGCAATTCTGAGAACTGAAATGTGTTCCACACTAGGGTATAAGTCACTTCTGATGCATAGATGAGGCAGTAAGGAAGTCAGCTTTCCTTCTCCAAGCAGAAAGCCAATCAAACAGAAGGAGAACTGGAGCACTGTGCCTCTGTCCCAAATCAGGTTAAGTTCCTGCTGGGCATCACTGCCTCTGTCCAGACTACCCCCACCTCAACAAGGAACCCTACCAACTGAGAGAAAGCATAACACCCCCCACTGCCACCCCAATAGGGAAGCCTTGAAAGCCAACAAGCTCTTTACCAAATGATGGCCAGGGGTCTGAAACGTTCTCGCGAGCTGTTGTTCCACTCCAAGGGTTGGTCAGGTTAGCAGAGGCCCCAGGACCCCAGGGCTCTGTTTTCTTGGCAGCAGGGCCAGAGCTGGGGAGGGCATCCATTAAATCCAGCAGGGTAGTCTGCTGTGGGTGGGAGCCCGGCTGTTAAGACAAACAGAATGAACAGTTTAATTTGGTTAGAGTCACAGCAAATATCCACACACTAACCACTAATACTACAGCACAGGCCTTACTACAGCACAGGCCTTTGGGAGAGGTCCTGAAGGATTTGGAAATTGAGCTGCTCCAACCCCAGGGCTCTACTAACGCTCCTGCTTCCCAGAGCAGCCAAGACTACATGCTACTTACTGTTTTCTACACACCTTGGCTTTAAGAGCCTTCAGGGCTCTCAAACTCTCTTAGGATAATACCAGCCTTGGTCTAAACTGTGACCTGCCCCCATCATCCCTCTTTACCAGCCTTGCTTCCCTAGCTTCTGGCCAGCCTCTATCAAGGGCCCTCACTCTCTCCCTCCTGGGGGTTGCCCACCCTCCTTGTTCCCATGACAACCACATTTGGCCTCAGGGCCCTGTGGTGTCCTAACAGGGGAAACCACTAGCATTCCCTGGGCCAAGGGCAGTCTCTTGACTGGATGGTGATAAGCTGGTCAGGAGCAAAGCCATGTCCTGGTCACCTGTGTCAGAGCCCTATAGAGTAGGATGGTGAGGATAATGAAAACCACAATGGGGGTGGAGAGGGTAGGGGAGTTGTCCCTTGGCCAAAACAGTCTCTGAGGACTGCTGTATAATTTACTGAAATGGCCTCTGTAGGCACAGGAGGCAGGCGCTGCTGCTACCCTCTCTTTACAGGTAGCACCCAGTATCTTCTCTTCGTTCGGTTCATGTGTTTTCTATTGTGTTCTCACTGGTGTTCATCACAAGCATGGGTTATGTGTTGATTACGGGAGTACTTGTAACAATCACCCCAGAACACCTTCAAACATTCACCCTGTAGCAAATTTTTACCTCTTTCTTTTTTGGAAATTTAACCGTATCTCTCCGGCTTTCTTCCAGGGCCATCTGTAATCTGAGGTCATCACCCCGCCTGAGGCGTTCTTCCTGGAGTGGGACAATGGAACTTGAGGCTGAGGGCGATGGTTGACAGCAACACAGCAGGGCACAAAGCCATGCTGACCAGCAACAGGAAAGGCCCCCCAACCATGTAGCATTTCAAGGGAAGATTTAATTCAGAGTATGCTCACAGAAGCTACCCCCTTCAGAGGCTGTCTGAGGTCCTAACAGCAAGACTGGGGCTCAGGCACCTCTAAATTGGGAAAAAAAAAAAAAAACTTTATCTAAAATATTTTTTCTTAAAATAAAAATGTTGCTATGCTTCTTTTCATTTACAGAAGCAGTTTCCTTATGAAACATAAATAATGACAAACAGGAAGGAATTAGAAAGAGGATGAAAATCACACATCATTCCAATTCCCAAAGTAGATGCTCCCTGAAAATGGCTGTGCAATTCTATGATTTCTAGCAGAAACAATTCATTATATTTATTTAAGGCAAAGTCACTATGTACAAAAGACAGAACTGCCATAGCTTTTATGTGATCAAAACATATCCTTTTGTTTTACTTATTATAAATATCAGCTAAAAGGGCTGAAGTCATCCACCTATCCCAGGGATTTGCAGTGAGCCCTCCTGAGCATCTTGCTCCGGATGAGCCATGTGATTCCATGTGAGCCTAGTTAATACAATGGGCACAGAGGCATGACCAAAGCCATCATTACTGTTATAAACATATCAGTCACACAAGACAAACCTCTATGATCACATTAACAATCCTAACCTTCTCTCTCAACAAGGGCTGTACCTTGTGCCACTGGCTCTACAACTCTAATGATTGCAAGCAAAGGGATGCTATGCTGTCTAAGGATGCCTGAATTGTCCCTTTCTCTCTTCCTTCAATTTAAAGTAATGCATGCTTATTAAAGAAAAACAAGAACCAGCATATGTGGGAACAAAACACATACAGGCTCAATATTAGAGCACTTGTCTAGAGAGGATCTGGATTCCATCCTGTACACATATAACAACAACAACAAAAAAAAACCCCACTGCTCCTACCATACCTACACATGTACCCTAATTTCCTAGATCACTGCCTTCTCCCACACATCTGCCATAGGACATACTACCTTGGCAGGAGCCAGGTTCACCCCACCTACATCCTCTGTGCCTGTCCGGCTCACTGCTCTATATGCTGGCACCTCATGGATACCTCAGGCACACAGCTCCCTTGGGAGCTCCCTTAGGAGTCTCTGGATGCTATGTCTGCACAAGCACTTCCAAGAGAACTTGGGGTTAGCTTCTTCCCTGGACAGTGACCTCCCTGAAAACCTTTCCTAGATACAGCTCTTCCTTGGTCCCCTCCAGGACTAGGAGCAAAGGATGGGAACATTGCGGCCACAAAAAGTGAACTCAGCAAGCATCTTTTTATTTTATTTTATTTTATGTGTATGGGTGTTATGCCTGCATGTATGTAAGTGTACCCATGATGTGCAATGCCTGAGGAGGACAGAGAGGCTATTGGATCCCCTGGAACTGGAGTTACGGACAGTTGTTAGCTGTCATGTGGGTGCTGGGAATCGAACCCAGGTCTTCTGCAAGGACAGTCAGTGTTCTTAACCGCTGAGTCATCTCTCCAGCCCCCCAGCAAGTATCTTAAAGATAGGCCTATGAGTGTTATCCTCCCTGGGAGAGCCACACCCCTCCCCCAGGAGTCCCTCAGTGCAGACCCACCAGGACACTGACCTGTTCTGCCACTTCTCTGCTCATGGCAAGTGCCAGCTGCAGTTGCAGCTCTTCCTCTCCACTCGTCTGTGGCCGGGCTGCCCCAAATAAAGGGTATGTGGGGGGGGGTGGGGGGGGGGGGGGGGGAGGCCAAGTTACTACATGCAAAGACAAGCTGTCCTCAGATCCAGCAGCAAGCTGGCACTCCATTACCACCTCAAATCCACATAACCTAGCAGAGCCCAGTGATACAGGCAAAGGATGGGCCTGGGCCATAGGTATTTCAGGGTTAAAATCAAGTGATGGAGCTGCAGAAATAGCTCAGTAATTAAGAGCACTGGCTATGCTTCCAGAGGACCTGGGTTCAGTTCCTAGCACCCACATGGTAGCTAATGACTCTCCATAACTCCAGTTCCAGGAAATTCAACACCCTTTTCTAGCCTCTGTGGGCACTGTGCAACAACAGGTACACTTACATACATTCAGGCAAAACACACATAAAGAATAATAATAGATTTTTAAAATTTTAATCAAGTGACAGTCAAACATGGCTGTGTTAAGCACTAACTAGAGGTCTGGCCTCAGGAGAACCAAATCTCAGACTTTGTAACAGATGTCTGCTCCAGAGAGATGGATGAAATCAGAGACCCAAGGTAGGGTTCTGGAAGAGCTAGACCAAAGAGTCCAGTGCAGGGCATGAGGGGCAAAGGGCTCTAATTAAAACACTAACATGTAGGAATCATACCTGGGACAACAAAGCCCACCTGTTTCTGTGGAACACGAGTGCTTCTGTAACACTGCACACAGGTATATTTTTGCTTAAGTAATTTAACTAGCTCAACACTAACAAGTAGCTCCTGGAAAGACAGTTTTTACTGAAGAGATGAAATATGAAGTACTGGCTGAGGAACAAAACTCCAAAGAGGGAGTCTACATCCAAACTAGCCCAGGCACGGCCTCCCCAGGGAAATGCTGTTGGCTCAAAGAGCCTTGGCAGTTTATAGGTCAGGAAATTTAGATGCCCTTGAAGTAGATGTACAATTTGGAGAGAATACCCTGAGTGTGATCACTTCTGCCCACTCCTGGCTTCCATAAACTCTGCAGAGCCAGGCCTACTCACTGATGGAACCACCGCCTCAGATGGTTCCTGGCTCCAGCCTCATGTACAGTCCAGCTCACCCTCTTCCCCTGCTCATCAGCTAAGAGCACAGCCTCCTACACAGGGACCCTCAGTACAGCCTCTCCTCAGGCTGATACTCTCCCCTCCTTTACTATACTGACCCCTGGCTGGCAAACACTTATTCAGCGAACAGCTGCATTCATGAATGGATGGGTGGATGAACAGACATACAGACAAATCAATTTCATGGCTCCAGTTAATTGCTTTAAATGTTCAAATCTGTATTCATTAGCTTCCTTCTTTCATGCATTCTACCAAAGATAACTACCAGGACTGTTCACACAAAAGTTGCTTCTGCATCTCCAATCTAAATTGCTTCCTAGGATCTGTCTCCTTGATAGGAAAAAGTCAGGAAAAAATCTTGACCAAGATGGTTTCTAGGTGGCCAAGCAAGCCTAGGTCAGTGGTCAGTGGTCAGTGAATGAACAGAAGAGGCCTAAATGTAGCTAGGACCACAGAGGTGAATGGTCCATAGAAGGACCAGGAGAGACAGCCAGGGTACTAAGATGCTGCTAGCAGATGTGGGGAGAGACTAGAAGCCCCTCTCTGCTGGGATACAGCTATGCAGAAATATCATTTTGTGTGAATTTGTTTTTTGTTGTTGTTGTTGTTTGTCTTTTTGAGACAAGGTCTCCCTGTAGCCCCAGCTGGCCTGGCACTTACTATATAGACCAAACTGGCCCTGAACTCACAGAGATCTGCCTGCTTCTACCTTCTGAGTGCTGGGATTAAAGGCATGCACCACCACGCCTGGGTTGTGTGAAATTTTTTAAGCACACAAAACATCCAGCAATAAGATTTAACTTGAAATCTTTCAAGGTATCTGGGGGGGTTGGGGGAGCAGCAGCAACCAATTTCATCAAGTCTTCTCTGTCATGAGTAGGTCAAAATAAACAAATAAAAGCTGCAGTTATTACAAACACAAAGAATCTTTGGATACCAGGTCTAACCCCATCCTAGAGCATTACCCAAATTATATTTCCCAAGGACTTCTTTACAAATACAGGTGAATGGTAATGAAATGTCCTCAAATCCATCTTCATAATTAGATTTAATAATACACTGAAAAAAGAAAAGTACATATTTTGGCTCATTTTGTTCCCAATCTCATCAACGTCAACCAGAACACTCAGATCTCAGCTTATGCTCAAGCACAAAATATGTCACCAACCCAAACTAGAGGGGATAAGGCAATGAGCCAGCCCTGAGGGCAGGCTTGGAGGACTCATGCACACTGAGCAGTGACTCCTCTGTGCAAACCACTAACATTGGAGCTTATTCATGGAAGAGTTTTGGGCTTGGTTCAAAAAGTCCCTGCTTAGATCAGATACAGCACCTGACATCCTGTTTACAACCAAAAGGGAATCCAGAGGGAATAAAGGAGAATATCCCACCCCCAGCACAGGGCTCAGAATTGAATCCTATCCTGTAAGGAAGGCAGCTCATTGGCCAGAGGGCCACAGGGCAGATTCACAAGGCCAGGGACAAATGTCTGGTGTTCCCGGCAGACCTGCTACAGCAGAGAGGCCTCCTAGGTCTTGCTGGCTGTTGGACACACTATGAAGCCAGACAGGCTTCAAATGCAAATCAGACCTGCTCTTGTCTACCACCACCAAGACAGCAAGAATGATGCAAAGCCAGCACTGTGGTGCGGAAATGCCTCACCACATCAATGTGGAACTTCAAGGCAAAGGGTATTCCCCTGCACACTGTGGTTTTTATAAACGGATACACAGCTCTCAGTTCCACGGGTGGCAGAATTCAGTCACCACCCGAACTGTCGGCTGAGCTGTGCACAGAGGACCTTGGCTTACTTAAAGGGAAGATTCCAGCAAACACTCTGGCCTCAGTGATGGCATCTCAGTCCCACAAAGGGACTTTTATGCCCAGACACATGACAGGGAACACAGATGCCCTTGTGAGATGGGCCTGAATGGCGCCTTCTGACCACCTAACCTGGCTCTACTGAGTATCTGAAAGCTCATAACTAACAGAGACCCAAGGAAAAGCAAGTGCCTGGAGGATGGCCCTCAGTGCACTGCTGCCTCCTCTCCCAGCCACCCTCTGGGAGGTTAGCTTCAGCTCACCATTTACATAGCACCAAATGCCATCTCCTGTCTGTCCCTTTGTGTTACTGCCCAGATGGAAGAGTTCTGCATCTTCATTCACTGTGACCAGAAACTGTTAACCATGGGTAGGCTGTTGTCTATCCCTTCCAGTCTGCTACCCGCCATTTCCCTCATGTCAGTCCCTGGGGCTAAGGAGATTGCTCAGTGGGTAAGAGTGCTTGCTGAGCAAGTACAAGCACTTGAACTCAAATCCCTAGCGTCCATGCAAAAAGCTGGGCATAGCTTCCAACTCCTGTAACCCCAGCACTGTAAGGGGGTAAAAACAAGAGGATCAAACAGGAGATCAATCCCTGGGGCTTGCTGGCTGCCAGCACCACTCCTGATTCAGTGAGAGTCCCTGTCTCAAGAGATTAATGTGGAGAGTCACAGAGCAGGGCACTTCCTTTCTGGTCCCTGCATGTACCCACACCCACAAATACATGTGCACATACACTAAACACATGTAACAAAAAAAAAGGAAGCAATGGGAAGGACTGCTTTCAGTTGAACTAGGTAAAGTAAGAAAAAATAAGTTTAAATCACAAGAGTACAAAGAAAGCAGTAACTATAAACACGTGAGACAAAGCCAAAGAGTCTAGAATGAGGAGTACAGGGAAGCCAAACCACACAGGGCAGCTGCAGCCACCCCTGCCAACGCAGCAGCCCCAGTGGTAGGATGGCTACCAAACAGATGACATCACACTACACAGGACTGTGCCAGCTAAATGCTGACATTAGTGGATGTGTGATGCCAAGATCACACAAGTTCAGGTAAGGGTCGGGTTGAGCACAGCAAGAGGCAAAGACACCCAGGCCAGAGATACCTGCTAGACAACCAGTCAGGTTTCCTGGACTCATCAGGGTAAGGAAAGGGATGTGTGCTAAGAATAAGAAGATCAAGCAACATGTGTCTTGAGTGCTCTTGCTTTGGGCAGCCCAGGGGCAAAACACTTTCAGGACATGTGAAACCTTAATTTGTCCTATAGGAAAATACTGGCAATTCTTGATTTGGGGGCATGCCAGTGGCTTTGTAACTCCAGGAAGCCATGCAGCCTCAAGTTGAGGGGTAAAACTTGACAGTACCCATGACTTAGTTTTGTTTTGTTAGTTTATTGAGTATACTACAAATGGACAGTGGGTGGGTAGTAACTAGAGTACAACCTGCAGCCCCTGACTTGTTTGTAATACTCTAGTATAAAAGCCAGCCAGGCCACTCCTCTAGCCCTGTCAGGACAGCACTCCCCAGAGGAAGCAGCTGTTCACATGTTCTTGTGATTCTACCAGAAGAGCTTTTTACTGTGTGTTTCATGATCTGTGTATAGGTATGTGGATGTGCTTCCTTTCTTAAGACTCTCAGAGAAGGGGCTGGCCAGGGGCAAGATAAGAACTCAAAGCCAAGTCATGAGACCTAAATCCCACACCTGCTTCCCAATGTCCTGTAGCTTCAGCCTCTCAACATCACTCACGAACACACTGCCAGCCTCCTCTAGGCCTGAGGAAAGTCCTAGGTTATAGTAAGGAGACCAGAAACAAAAAAACAAAGTAGGAGAGAGTGGCAGGGCCAAGGCCAGGGCCTTGCTGATGGAAGGAGAAACAGGGAGACTTGAAGGCCTGCAAGGGGAAAGGGATCTTTGGATCACTCCAGGGCACATGAGGAAATTGCTGGGGGCTGGGGCCTTCAGAGGGGCTTTGGGAGGGTCTAAGCAGAGAGAGACAGCATTCAACAGGTCCTGAGGTAGGTAGTTTGTTTTGAGACAGGGTCTTATGCTGTAGCCCAGGCTGGCCTCGAAGTCATAGCAATCCTCCTTCCTCAGCTTCCCAATGCTGGGATCCTAAGCATGCACCGCTATGTACTGTATGGCCAGACTTGGTACTTATTGAACTATCTTCTGATTGTGGGTGGTAGACAAAACTGGGTCTCGACCCAAACTATGGGTCCAGTACCTCAGAACATGACTTTATTCATAAACAGTGTGGTTACTCATGTGGTTGCTTATAATGAACATATAGAATAGGCCCTATATCCAGTGGTGGAGAAAGAAGACCCTATACATTGCACATGCAGGTCTCTGGCAGAAGCCAAGGTGGGGTGTTGGACTATGAGATGCCAGAAAGGTTAGCACTCAAGCTTAGAAGCAAGAACTTCAAGAAACATACAATGTATCTCTTTCAAAAGCTTAATTATACTTTTAAAATGAAAGTTAAATGCCTATAGCACTTTCTTTGACTCATATGGGCTGACTATTCCTAACTCAATATTCTGAAATTGAAAATATTCCAAAATCTGAAACAAGAAAAAAGAAATTCATTTTTAAAATTTTTTTGCTTTACTTTTATTTTATGTGTAATATGTATTGCATGCATGTATACAAGTGCACCAATGTCATGCAATGCCCACAGAGAATAGAAGGCAAAGGATCCCTTGGAACTGGAGTTATAGACCATTGTTAGCCGCCATGTGGGTGCTAGGAATCAAACCTGGGTCCTCTGCAAGAGCAGCCAGTGCTCTTAACCACTAAGCCACCTCTGAGCCCCAATCTGAAACTTTTGAATGCTGACATGATGCTGTTAGTGAAAATTTCCCCACCTGATTGACCTGTGACAGACCAGTTGA